TGGGATCCATACAAATCAGCTCCCCTGAAGTTTCATGCTTTCTGTGAAAAAATAACAGGAGATTCTTAAGCTATGTCCCTAAGAAACGTTATTAAGATAAAACATCATATAATGTAAATAAAAGAAAATATATATATAATATATATAACACATATAAAAACACATTTATCTGTATATGTTTGTGTGCATATACACACATGCATGTATATAGTTGATCATCTTCAACTGTTTAGAGATTTTCTAGCCTTTTTTTATTGTGGATTTCCAGGTTAATTGCACTGTAAACTGAGAACATATTCAATATGGCTTCAATTCATAGATATTTTTTGAAACTTACCACCCAGTATATAGTTATTTTCCAATTATTTCATGTGTACTTGAAAAATTGTTTTGCATTAGTTGGGCAAAACTGTACATATGTCAACTAGTCAGACTTCTATGTTGTTCAAATTTCTCTATTGATTTTTTTTGTTTTGTTTTTGAGACAGGGTCTTGCTTTGTCACCCAGTCTGGAGTACAATGGAGCAATTGCAGCTCACTGCAGCCTCAAGCTCCTAGGCACAAGCAATCCTCCCCTCTCAGCCCCCTAGGTAGCTGGGATTATGGGCATGAGTCACCACGCCAGGCTAATTTTTTGTAGAGATGGGGTCTCACCATGTTGCCCAGGCTGGTCTTGAGCTCCTGAGCTCAGCGATCTACCAGACTCAGCCTCCCAAAGTGCTGGGATTACAGGCATGAGCCACCACACCTGGCTTCTGTTGATTTTTCTATCGAATTGTCATTAGTTACTGAAAGAATAGGGGAAAATAATTTCCATTAATGAGTGTGAATTTCTCTACTTACGCTTTCATTATATGCTGTCAATTTTCACTACTTTTTTGTTTGTTTGTTTTTTGAGATAGAGCCTCTCTCACTCTGTCACCCAGGCTGAAGTGCAGTGACGGGAGCCTGTGTCTCCCAGGTTCAAGTGATTCTGTTGCTTCAGCCTCCCGAGTAGCTGGACCTATAGGGGCGCACCACCACACTCAGTTTATTTTTTTATTTATTTTTATTTTTTTTTTGTAAAGACGTGGTTTCACCATGTTGGCCAGACTGGTCTCGAACTTCTGACCTCAAGTGATCTGCCCACCTCAGCCTCCCAAGGTGCTGGGATTACAGCCTTGAGCCACCGTGACTGGTCAGTTTTCACTACATAACTTGATGCTGTTTTATTAAGGGTACACAAGTTTAAGATCGCCATATTTTCCTGCAGAATTTACCCTTTTTTCTTGATAGCCTGATTAAAATGATTTTGTCATTGTAGCCTGATTATAATGATTTTATCATTATGTTATTTGATTTTATCAAATGATTATAAATTTAACATATAATATATATCACATATAATTATATTATCAGTATATATTACTTACCTTTTATCATTATAACAACTTTAACTAGGTTTCTACAACTTGCTGTATGTAGCCACTTTCGTTTGCTCTCATTATAGCTACATTAACTGTTTTCCAATAATATTATCATGGAATAGCTTTTTTTAAAAACATCTTTTTACTTTAAACCTTTCTGTGTCTTTGTGTTTAAAGTAGTTCTCATGTAAGCATTAGAACATTTGTTTTAATCTAGTCTGACAATGTCTTTGAATTGAAGTATTTAGTTCGTAGTATATTATATGCAGTTATAGATAGTATTATTAGAGTTGCCATAGTCTGAATGTTTTCATCTCCCCAAAACTTACATATTGAAAGCTAATCCTCACTTGATAGTATTTGGAGATGGGCTTTTGGGAGATGAGTAGGTTCTGAGGACAGAGCCCTCATGAATGGAATTAGTAAAGGCCCAGAATGCAAAAGCCTCCAGGACTCTGGGGCCACCACAGAGAGTCCCTGTGAAGCTCAGTGTCCAGCAAAGCTGGGGTGGGCCTGCTCCCTTGACTCAGAGAAGTAGAGCAACCACTGTGTGACTGCAGCCCCAGGGGGCCAGGGTGCAAGCCAGGCACCAAGCTGCCCTGGGAGCAGGGCTGCCCAAAGTTGTGGAGACAGGTTCACCAACCCAGTATGTCTGGAAGGTGGGACATGGAACCAAAGAGGATTATTTTCACGACTTAATATTTAATGTTGGCTGGCCGCGGTGGCTCATGCCTGTAATCCCAGCACTTTGAGAGGCCAAGGCGGGTGGATTACCTGAGGTCAGGAGTTTGAAACCAGCCTGGCCAACATGGCGAAACCCCATCTCTCCTAAAAAAAAAATTACAAAAATTAGCTGGGCATGGTGGTATTGTGCCTGTGATCCCAGCTACTGTGGAAGCTGAGGCAGGAGAATAGCTTGAACCTGGGAGGTGAAGGTTGCAGTGAGGGGAGCTCACACCATTGCGCTCCAGCCCGGGCAACAAAAGCAAAACTCGGTCTCAAAAAAAAAAAAAAAAAAAAGACTCAATGTTTGCTCTGTTGGATTTTGGACTTGGGAAGCACCTGTTATGAATTTCTTCTTTCCTATTTCTCCCTTTGGAATGGGAATGTCTACGCTATGCCTGGTC